CAAAAAGTTTGTAATTTTCTTGGAAAAACGTTTAAAACCCAGATGAGAGTTCACAATGGGCCATATTTACCAATCAAGCCTGGCACAGCCTACATTGTGTGAACTTTCTGTTTCTTGGGTTTTTATTTTTTCTTTGCTTGGTGGTGCTTCCATATGGAAGAATGTGGCTAGACCACAGTAGGTTTTTCCAAGGTTTAGCTATTATTAAAGGCTTATTACTTTGTAACATTTGAAGCTTTGAGAACAATTATACTCTATCAATTTATTAAAAATAAGGATTAAAATATGTGAGTGGAATGGAATATACTGGTTTTAAGCACTAATGCTTTAGTCCAAATAGTTTTTGCACAATTTATTTTTGACCTGAAGCAAAAAGAAACAGAAGACTGAGTGAGATAGGCTTTTTTTCACTCTCAAATAAAAAGATATAAATATGGTTGACTTTTTAAGAATGTAACTCTGGCCGAGCGCGGTGGCTCACGCCTGTAATCCTAGCACTCTGTGAGGCCTAGGCGGGTGGATCGCTCAAGGTCAGGAGTTCGAGACCAGCCTGAGCAAGAGCGAGACCCCGTCTCTACCAAAAAAATAGAAATAAATGATCTGGACAACTAAAAATATATAGAAAAAATTAGCTGGGCATGGTGGCGCATGCCTGTAGTCCCAGCTACTCAGGAGGCTGAGGCAGAAGGATCACTTGAGCCCAGGAGTGTGAGGTTGCTGTGAGCTAGATGCCATGGCACTCACTCTAGCCAGGGCAACAAAGCAAGACTCTGTCTCAAAAAAAAAGAGTATAACTCTGATTTTTAAATTATTCCAGAAGTTATGATATATAAAGGTACTCCTTCTATTAAAAAAAAAGATTGATGTTAAAATTTTAGTTTTCATTTGCTTTATGTAGTACGAGTATTAAACTGACACGTTCTTATATGTTCAAACCTTTGAAATATTTTAATTTGTGAAAATTCGTTGTTATTTCATTTGTTCAGTTTATGTAACATTCTGCCACAGATGCTTTTTAGGACTTCAGAGTTATACTGCTAAATTAAATAATCTCTCTATGCTTTTGGGATTTTTAGTTATTTCTTGGCCTGTGGCCATATAAGAACATATGCAAAGATTAGTAGGTGTAGTGTGCTGGCCTTATCCTTTCATCACATCAGTCTCTAGGCCTGTTCAGGATTTTGCATCTTCCCTGTAGTTCAACAGCCATCACATTTTGGTTTTGGCTTTCAACAGTCAACCTTCAAAGATCTTTTGTTTTCTGACGGTTGAAGAAACTGGCTCAGTGTTCCTACTCTTAGACAATTATTTAATTGTTTACAGATAACTGAAACTGTCTAGTAAGGGTTTCTATTATGAATTTCTTTATTTTGTGGGAAGCTTATCATGTGGAAATGACTGGTTAACATAATTTCTGACGATTGAAAAAATTGTTTTTAAACCAAAAAGCATCAAAAAGCTCATTCTTTCTTTTCTTATTTTGCACTGCGTGTTTTTTTCCTGTGTATTATAACAAATCTCTCTCCTTTTTAAAAGTAAGACATGGCAGATTTAATGCTTGAGTTGGTACTGTTATAGCATGCTTAAAGAAATGTGCTCTTTAGAAATTTTTGCTTTTTCAACATGATATCAAGTATTATTTTGGTAACTTGGGTAAGAATGAACCCATCTTATACAATAAAGAATTTGGAACTTCAAAAATGTATCCTCACCCTTAATTAACCCCAGGGGAACAGTTTAGTGAAGAATATGTTGAATTCTTAATGTAATATTTATACTTACTGGCTTATTTTGAGTAAATGTTTCGGAATATCACCTTGTTTAATTTAAACTTTTTAGTTCATTTTCATTAGTGATTTTCCATGAGGGATACATTTCTACCTTTATTAAGTAAGACAGTAGGAAAATATGATTTGGTTTCCACAGTTGGCTTTTAAGCCAACCTATCAGCAACACATCTTTTCCATAAAGTTGGTTACACCTGGAACATGATAAGGCATAATTATTTCCTTACAGAATTGTTTAAAAACAGTCACATTAAACAACTAGTGTCCAACACTTACCGATCACTTACTGGATACAGACACTATTTTAAGTGTTTTACATCACTCTATTTATGTTATAAATGTTCAAAATATGTTTCCCTTCCCTCCTCCTTCCTGTTTTCCTTCCCCTGCAGTGTCCCTTAAGACAGTAACTTTTAAGAAATACCCAAGTCAGAAATACTAGTACAGGTTGAGTATCCTTTATCCAAAAGGCTTGGGACCAGAGTGTTTTGGATTTCAGATTTGGGGATATTTACATACATACAATAGACATCTTGGGAATGAAACCCAAGTCTAAACACAAAACTTAGTTATGTTTCATATACATCTTGTACATATAGAATTCATACAATATTTTAAAATAATTTTGTGCACGAAGCAAAGTTTTAACTGCATTTAGACCTTAACTCATCACATGAAGTCAGGTGTAGAATTTTTCATCTGTGGTGTCAGGTTGATGCTCAAAAAATTTCAGAATTTTCATAATAGAACTTTTCAGATTTTGGATCTGCAGATTATAGATGCTCAATCAGTAACTGCCATTAAGGTTGTCCATTTAAATTACAGAGCTGTCCATGGGTAATAGGATGAACAAGAGAAAGAGATCATGAGACCTCAAGTGGTATTAGGAGGTAGACATGGCAGATTGCTTGGAAGGGTGCTGATTTAACATGAATGCAAGTCATAGCGGGAGTCACAGGTGAATTACAGGGCCTGCTGCATTGAGTGGACCGTGAGACACTTGAGGAAACAAGCAGAGAGAACACTGGGCTTCCAGAGAACCCAGCAAACAGTTTTGAGAATCTGTGCCATAGAATTTAAAACAAAGCAAGTCAGATGAGGTGACACATTTTGCCACAGAACCAGCAGGAGGATGAAAAACCGAACTTGGAAACAACGAGGATAAAAGTGACAGGTTTGGCCCAGTGATGGACAAGAAGTCTGGCCTCAGATTTCCAAAGAATGAGGGAGAAAAACATATATTTTAAATAAATAGCTTCATACACAGAGTATAAGTGCTGGCCATATCTTTGCATATATATGCTATATTACTTCATTTTTTAAAATTAGTGATGGGATCTTTCTCTGTCTCTCAAACTGGAGTGCAGTGATGTGATCATAGCTCACTGTAGCCTCGAACACCTGGGCTCAAGCAATCCTCCCGCCTCAGCCTTCTGAGTAGCCAGGACTACAGGTGTGTGCTACCAGGCCTTCCTAATTTTTTTACTGTTAAATTTTTTTGTAGAGATGGTGTCTCTCTGTTGCCTAGGCTGGTCTTGAACTTCTGTCCTGAAGCGATCCTCCTGCCTCAGCCTCCCCAGTAGCTTAAATATGCTATATTTTTTGTATGTCATGTCAAATGATTTGACTATCTTATTTGCATTTTTATGTAGTTAGAATGTTTGACACACACATATTTTCGGGCTGGGAAGCAGAGCTTGGTATGGTAACAGTTTGGAATTTGAAATCTGACAAGTCTGGATTTGAATCTCAGCTGTTATGTGGCCTTGAGCAAGCTACTTATCTGATTTTTTGTGGTAGATTCTTGTCTATAAGATGGAGATAGGAACATCCAAGTCTGGAAGGGTTAAATGGATAATATAAGTAAAATGTCAATAACAGTGTCTGGTACTCAGGGCTAAACAGAAGTGAGTTACCCTCCCAAGGAGAGGACAATAGAATGGTTTTCTCCTTCTTGTTATGGAAAGGATAGAAATTATAAAGAGAAGACACACAACTGGGGGGGTGGGGCGGCAACTAGAACCTCTATTCATAAGAGAGAGGCCATAATTTGTGTTTATTAAAAAATGGAAATTGCTTAAGAGGAAAGAAGTGTTAGCAGTTTAAGATTATGTGGTCAGTTAAATAGTAAAACACGTTTCAGAATGTATGTATTACTTAAGGGTTCCATGCAAAAATTATCAAAAGTTAAGCATTGCATGTTTGCTAAGTATAGTGATTCATCTGTATTTTAAGGGTGTATATTAATAGAATTACATATTGGTCAAGTTCAATTAATAAAAGTTAAGTTTTTGTCACTGTGAAATTTTAAAGCATTTATATAATCATGGTCTTTTAAAACCTTGCTACTCATTAAAGCAATTGAATGACAAAAGAGATGTTCTTTTTGTTTTGTTCAATTTTGTTGAGCCATATCTTTTTGTCATAGGACTTTTTACTGTTTTGTAACTGCTGCTTTCATTTTGTAATAAGAAATTTATTTAAATCATTTTTAAAATTATAAGAGCAGAACCAGCATGTTAGTTTTAAAAAGACAGTTCCTTATCATGTCTAAAGACTATTGGGAAATAAGTGTTTTTAAATTTTTCAAAGCTAATATTGTCATTCTGCTTTTTTACTTGGATGAATGTGATCCCAGAGAACATTTATTGGATACGCTTTAATATTTTTTTCTGATTTCAAGGAGTAAAATATATTATCTAAAAATTGCTAAGGGCCTATTTTCTTATGAGAATGCTATGTTGCCTATATATTGTTACATCATTAGTTAAAAGTTAAATGAGTATGCTTCATCATTTCTGAATAATACAGTATGTATAAGTGATACTAAAATTTTCTAGTTATATGATGACCAAAGAAATGTCAGTGGTTTACCAAAAAATAATGTGGGTCTTGAATTTCTTTTGATTAGTTAATCATTGTAAGCATTTATAAACTATGTTCCTCACGGACATCTGCATTTTTGGATAATACGTGATTTGTACAGCCATTCTTAAATAGTTGAAACTTACAAGAATTTCAAATTTCTGTGCCTGGTGGAAATAAAATAAATATGAGACATGGTAAATATTTGTTTCTTGAATCTCTTATATAATGTAAACAAATGTTACTAAAATAGTACTTTATGTTTGGGGGTTCCCCCATGTTAAGTATACACTATCTTTAAAAATTTGAGTCTTACTTTTTGCTTACTTTTTGCTATCATTTGGACAGGTGTCTCAACGCTTGTACCTACTGCAAAACTAAACATGCCAGAGGAAATTTGGCCAGTTATCCAATTGATGAACTAGTAGATAGAGCTAAACAATCTTTTCAAGGTAAGAGTTTCTAGAATTATATGCAAAATTAGTCTTCTTAATAAGTTGCATTAATCTTCGCAGTAACACTTCAATTTGGATACCTACCTAGCTTTCTGAACAGTTTACAAATATTTCAGCTTAACTAGTAGAAGATAGTAGCAGATTTAGTCACTCAGGTATGTTTGTATTAATTACTCTTCTTTTACTGTTCTTCCATTTTCTTATCTCTCGAAAATGAGTGACATATTTCAAACTTTATTGTCTATCTCTAGACTTCCTGGAAAAGACAAAACATTAACAAATGAAATGCAATCCATGAGCCTCTGATACCTGTTAAGATTTTTGTGAACTGAGTGAAGTTTTCAGATTTCTCTTATCTTTCTTTGGCATTTTGGGACCATTTAGAAAATAGAGCTAATTAGGGTTTCCAGGAGTCTTTGATGGAGAAGAAGGTAGGTTTTCCTATCAGCCAATAAAGGAGGCTGCCCTCCTTATTTACAGGAATGCTGGACCAGTAAAGAGTGGTTCTAGGGGAGAGTCCTAAGGAAAATAATGCTTTGTGTGGAGTGGCTAGTACTTCTGAGTCATCGCTTGCTGAAAAATGTGATTATCTAGGTGTCTGTCAGCATATAGTAAGACTTATCTTTAACCTGAGTCACAGTTGTGTTGACATATAACTGCTGAAACCATAAACTACTTCTTTTGCGTTTGTTTATAATATGTGTAGGTAACAGTGGTATGCTTTAACTCCCAACATGAGATAATCCATTGTTTCTTAATCTTGTGGGTTAATAGTTACTGGCAGTGTACTTTTCCTTTTAGCAAATAACCTGGAGTGCTACTTTTAGTACTTCAAACCCGGAATGTCAGAAAGTATGAGTTCTAAACTCATTTCTTTATTTAATCTATATAAAGCTTTTAGCAACATGAATTTGGAATGTTCCTTTTAACAGAGAGAAATATACCCTTGGTTGATTTATTGACACCTCCCAACAATTTTTTCTCTACTTTATATTCTCAGCTCAGTCCCCTCCTCTGTTCATATTCAGCTAGCATTGAAAGAGAAATGAAGGAAACTCATTGACTCTTGCCAGTGTTCTATTTTTAGAGCCAAGTTATTGTCTAATGTGAGGAAAAACCTGGGTGGTTATCTTTTCTGCAACATGACTATTAACTTATAAGAATTTTTTAAAAGGGACAAAAATTTGCACAGAAACCTAATCTGTTTGAGAATGATATCTTTGCTTGCATTCTTAATTGGTGTTTTTCCATGTATCAGATAATGAGGATATTAAACATACATGATCTATCTGCCAAACATCACAAATTAGAAGGCATGGAAATTAGTACTTTTTCAACATTATTCTAAGTGCAACTATGTATAATTTTTTAAAATCCTCTATTTCATTTTACGTGAAAATTAATTTGAAAGATACAGAACTGTAAAATCACCATGTAGGAAGTGAAAGTATTCTCTTCACTCCCGCATATCTATCCTCACTTGTAACTTACGCTAACATTTTGGTCTGATTATTCATGACTTTGTATGGACACATTTATGTGCTATATGTGGCCTGAGGAAAAAAGACAGAAACATAATTTTTACAAACTGATCATAGAATTTTTCTGAAAATATTCACCTTAGCTCTCTGATTTATCTTTAGAAATGCCCTCTGAGCAACGGAGGTACAGTGTGTTGCTTCTGTAGGACTTCAGTTAGGTAACACTGTCATATCCTAGTGGGTTGGGCCAGTTCTGTCGAGTGGTTCAAAGAACATATTAGAGGTTAGTAGTGATTTAGTTGCGATTTGTAGAGAAAGTATTAGAAGATTATTCTTATCATCAGCGGTAAGATATGTATCTTTTTATTCCCAGCCATAAGATTTTTCAGTTGTCTTGTTATCTGTGTATTAGAGTTGAAACTGAATTCTGGTTTTTGGAACCAATGTTCAGGAATATTTTAAGTCCTCAATTATTTGGTGTTCTTTGCTATAGGCAGAGTTTGGATTTGAAACACCGCTCTGTTGTTTACCGGCCACATGATCTGAACGAGGTGTCTGACCTCTCTAAGCTATGGTTTTCTCATCACCGTAACATTTAGCCTTGTTTGTTGTAAGAATTTGAGGTAAACGTATGTGAAGGAATCAGCTGTGTCAATATTATAAAGACAACGTATTACTTAAAGGAATTTAAAGTGAATCCAGGAAAAGAAGTCTAATTTTGAGTGAGAATATTGGAACATCCATAACAGACAGTGACTAGAATCAAATGACAATTTTTCTTCTGATTCTGAAATGTTCTGTGAAAAATTTCTGTGTGGATAGAAATTATTTAGTGTGATGGTTATCTTTCATTTTCTAAAATTGAGAAATACAAATGCATGCTGAGAATAGCCTTATAATTCCTTTTCACCAAAGGAAATATCAATCTATAAGGCCACATTTTAAAGACATTGAGTTAATAGCATTATCTTTTTTCTGCAAAAAGACATTGAGATTTTAATGGTCTTACAGAAATCCCAAGTTTGAGCTTTAAAATTTTGAAGAATAATTATAAAGGTAAATATAATAGAAGAAATAATCCATTTTCTTATTTCTGTGACTTTTATATATTTAGTTCTTTAATAATTCAGGTGTTAGGAATATTTTTAGGGCCAGAAACCCTTACATTCTACATTCTTCCACGATTAGATTGTTCTACAATGAATAACAAACACAGTTGTGTGAAAAGTTACCCTAAGATAAAAAATCTAAATATGCTGCCGGTAAATTTTAGTACTATGCTCAAAGCCTCTCTGTCAATGGAAGTTAAATTTCCCATCCGTAAAATGGCATTTCCTTTCTTTCCTTCTCTTAATTTTTTAATGGCTCCTGTGTGTCAGAAATACACATTGATTTTCAAAACTTTAGGCCAGTTGTAGAGTGGGATTAGAACCCAGCTTGCCTGTCATATGATAGATCTTATTGATAGTATATACAATAAGATCACAATTTTATTCTGAATAGCATATTTATGAGACATTTTATAAACATTTATTTCTTGTTAGTCTAATGAATGAAGAGACTAAGGGCTAACTCAAAGGCAAGGAAACATTCAGAAGAGGTTCTGAAATAATCATGAAATCATTCTGAATATAAAATGGCTTCCCAAAATACTAAAAATGTGCTGAATGTACATTCAACTGCCAAAAAAATGAGAAAGAGGGATCATTAACTTCTGAATGGATAGCACTAAAGTAAAAATTATTTATATTTTTTACAATAGAAACTTTAGTTTCTCTTGTACATAAAATATATTTATTTAATTGGTTTCCTAGTTTTTTTTTTTTCCCTCTCTCTGTCACTTAACCTAGTCCTCTTGACATTTTCATTGACTATTTTTACCTTCTCAGTGTAAAATGTTTTTGGTTTTTGTGGAGAGTTCTGCATATGAGTTTAAGATTTACCAGGCAACCTCTGGGTGTCATCTCATTGTTCTCACAGATTGTTGAGGAACCTTCCTCTTCACTGCTCACCTCTGCCGACATTCAGATTTTAAAAATTCCTAGAATTAACAGTGTTTGGAGGCTGGGGTTGCTGGGCATGACAAGGTTGCATTTTAGATGTCTAGAAAAACATGTCAAGCGGTGACCAGGACTTTGTTGGGGCCAGAATGAATTTACAAGCTAGTGTTTTCTAGGATATTTGTATTGATTTTTCTCTAGCAGCTAATCAATCAGTTTCAGTTGTGTAAGTGATGGAGCAAACCTTTTTAAGTGTGCTGGGTGAGTGGTGTGGAAACAACACCTTTCACTGCTGTCCCTGGAATCAAAATGTGGAGATGATGGATGAGCTGTTTTTATAGCTTTCGTGTGCTTTTCTAGATCTCATTTGTGTGTTGCTCCTTTTTTTCTCTTTCATAAATCTGAAGAGCCCCTGCAAGATAAGTGACATAAACTGGTTATGGAAAGGTAAAATAAAGATGAAATATTCAGAACAGGAAGAAAATTTCTTGATGCCTAGTGATTTCAATATTAATGTTGGAATTTAAAAAGATAAATTCTGCTATATTTTAAGACTTGCAGAGATACTTTCTATTGTATGTAAGATTAACTATGAAATACAACTGGAAAACATTGCTTCCTGCCTTTGTAGAAGTAGGATATGAGCAATGTTTGATTTTCTGTTGTATAAGCTTCACATTGTTCAGTTATATGGTTTATATCAAGCCCCATTTGACTTTAGAGATGATTAGTATATATTGATTTTGATCCAGGATCAAAAAGTGGCCAATAATTGCATTCTATTAATTTATATGGCAGTTAAATTTAATGTATGTTTAATTCCTTTGTCTTTTCATTTGTGCTGTATTTAAATAAATTGAGAAATCCATGTTTTCTATAGGATTAATGATGTTAATTTATATGTCTATACATTGTCAGCTTCCAAAAAGGATTTTGGGCAGCTTACACTAAATGATTATATGTAATAGACCATGGAAATAAAAGCTGTATAAAATGCTGTACTATGTTTTGAAAGAGAGAAGGTAATTTTACCAACTGATGAATCTTGCCTCTTCAGAAGCATAGGGAAATAGGGTTCTTTATATAATACGAGTATATAAAAGGAAGTAAATAGTTTACCATGAGAAATCTACATGTTTCTAGGCTCTATACATTGAGAAGAAGTATTTTCATATATCATTTCCAAAGAGACATTGAGTAATGTAATGAAAATGCTTTTGACTAGTAATTTATAGAAATTAAAGATATGTTCTCTACAGGGTTTTTTCTCTATTGACTCTTACAAAACCCAAAAAATATAATATTAAAATGTAAGTTTACAGAACATCTTTATGAGAATTAAATAAATGTAATGTATATAATACACATAACTTGATAGGGGGCACAATGCCCAGATAGCTATTTATCAGATATGCCGTTTAAATAAGCTAAGAGCAATCACTTTGATTTCAGGGAAGTTAAGGCTGTCCACGGCAAAAGCAGTATAGTTTACGTGACCTTTGCCTGTCCAGATTTC